TAGCAGGAGTGTCCAGTCCTGGTCCTGGAGGGTCAGTGTGTCTGTAGCAGGAGTGTCCAGTCCTGGTCCTGGAGGGTCAGTGTGTCTGTAGCAGGGCTGTCTAGTCCCGGTCCTGGAGGGTCAGTCTCTTCAAAGCACCAGCATTTGAAGGGTTGGGAGAAGTTACAACATTGGTGCAATTAAATCAATAATGAGCTGATCTAGGTAATTAAAAGCTGAGTTTGGATGAAAACCTGCAGACAGTGTCCGCCCAGGTCCAGGATTACCCACCCAGGTGCTAGTGTGTGCTTCTGTATCTCTAGGGTGTGCGTTATTAAAAAACGCATTCTGTAATGTCCGTTCAGAATCTATAGATAGTGAAATGGTAGAGCTGGAAAGAGGAAGTTGTATGCATGAGATAAAAAATATTATGACATGAAAACTGTAGTATTAAAAAGTGCTTGATGTATTGTTTTTTGTAAGCCATTCAGTGCATTCTGGCCCATTCTTACTGAGCATGAGAAGTACTTTGTGAAAAAACAAGTAAATCATTTACAGCATTTACGGCAGAACATTTTCTGGGATTGTATGTTCTGCCTCGCTGTCCTGTGGAACCACCTTGGTTTAATTGTGTGTTACTGTTGGAATCGGGGAAACTGGTTTGCTCATGGTGTGTTTTCGCCACTCTTAACAAGTGTAACGAGGACGGCGGCGCAAACCCCTTGATCAGCCTTCCTTAGAATACGGTGAAACCCGAGGAGGGGACTAGCTGAGACAAGCCTTCTGAACAAGGCTCTTGTTTGCATTGCGTAACATTCCTACATGACAGCACAGTTCCAAAATACCGTCCCAGTGGAGTATTTCAGCGTGTGCTATTTTAGAACACTCAATAGCCTGGAATTAAAAAATAAAAACGCATTTCATATCGCCTGTGAATGCCGGCCTGGTATGAGGGTTAGTTCTGCCGTACAATATCAGATCAGGTCTTAATGAGGCGTATTTCGCGGCCAGACCTTTCAATTTCCGAATTCCTCCTGAATGATAAACGTGAGAAAAATAACCTTCCAGAAAAGCTGTGTTTTTTTTTTAAAGTACATTTTTGTTTTATTCTTTTACCCCTCCCCACCTTCTGCTGCTGCCTGTGGCGTTCCGGACAGTGAAGGGTGTTGGTGCCCCGTCCAGGTCAGCTGGGGGGAAAGCCTGAGAGCGGGAGGGGGTGCCTTTGTGAGTGAGCTAGCGTGTTGTGTGCCGCCTTCTGTCCTGCAGAAAGGATAAGTGGGATCTGAAAGAGGAATGCTGTGTTTAGCCTTGTTTATAAGCATAGCCGGGGCGGGTGTAATGGAGGTGAGGTCGCGGGGAGATGACTCAGATTGCAGGTGACGGAGGCAGTTGTGGGGCCCGTTGTGGGGCCCGTTGTGGGGCCCGTTGTGGGGCCCGTTGTGGGGCCCGTTGTGGGGCCCGTTGTGGGGCCCGTTGCCCCGGTGGGGGTGGGGTGGGATTGCGAGGGGGCCACCGCGGTGGTCTGCAAGAGGGCGGGACCCCCGCCGACGCCGATGCAGGGGGAAGTGGGGGAATGACGCGGCTCCGCAAACGGGAGAGCAACACCGCGGTTCACGGAGTCGGCGCGAGCCTGCCGGCACGAGGGGGGGCGCTGCTGAAACCCAGTCCCGCAGCCCACCTGCAGGGAGGAGAGGCCGTTACCTGTGGGCAGGTGTTTCTTTAACCCGTGTCTCTCCTGCCAGTTCCCTCGGCCCTGTTTTATCTGCTGCAGGTTATTTCGAGAATGCTGTTTGGATTCTTTGATTCTCCGGTTTTTAAAATGTCATTTGTTTTGCTCGCAGATGTACAGAACGTCACGCAAGGTGATGTGTATTCTGATGTTACGCCGCTCAGAAGCTCATGATGCACTCTTAACTTCCGCTGCCTGGCGTTCAGACAAAATTACCTCCGTATTTAAGTATCCGTGAAGGTGTATTAGAAATCATTTGGCTAACACTTATCTCAAGAGACTTCCCGTTTTGTAGCCGTTCAAACAGTTTTATGTATTTCACTGACGCATTCTGAATGTCTGAGTACCTTTCTAAATGGGCACCAGCAATACCCTTACAAAACGCTGTATGTCCACAGCCCTTACCTTCTCTGCTTCTTCAATGCTGGTCACAGATGTCATGAACAAAGTAACTGGCATGTAAGTCAGGCTGCAGAGACGCACAGTGTGCCTACAGGTAACCATTTGTATAGCACTGACCGTTTAGCTGAGGGAATGTACACCAGGAGGTTAAATTCCACGAAGATGAATTATCACTGTTTGTGCAGAGTTGGAAGCCTTGAGTCACCATTTTTGGGTGCCAAACACATATGATGATTAGGTTTTTAAAAATGTTTATTCCACCTTTGTCTTAGTTTTGTAATAGAGGAATTCCTGATTTATTGCATGTTTTTTTTTTAAAAAATACTCCTGACATTGGCTCACAAGTGAGAAGTTCATATCTCAGAGTTATTTTTCATTTCGCAAGTTAGAGTTTGGTAAATCAATGCTGCGTGGGTTAAGCATTACACTGTAACCTCAAGCAAGGTCGTTGCATTAACTGAAGATTAGGATTGTACAGATTACAGCACAGTGTTTTCACAGGCTAAAACTGAAGCACAGGAAAAAGAATGTATTGTCTCATACCACTAAGCAATAGTTTAGTTTATACTGAGTAGCCCAAGATCTTTGTTTATGACTGGAAAGAGCACAAAATACCAGACAGTGCTTTTCGTTGCTTGTCCGTTTTGTCCTCTGAAAGGTCTTATTTGTTTAATGCTCAGCTGTATGTGCTCTGTTGTCTGTGTGTGGTCTATGTACTTTTAATCAGTTTCTATCAAGTTTAGGTCTGTGTGGTTGCTAGTACCTGACCATTCCAAGGGTCCCACCCAACTGTTTCTTGAAACAAGCTGGTTTAAAAGCTTTAACAATATGGCTTGGGCAGCTTGTTCCATACTCCCACAACTGTTTGGATCACAGATTGTCTCCTCTTCTCAAGTTTTATAGCTGATTAGTGCCATATACTGTATATATACTGATGGAAAAATGAAACACAGCACTTGTTGTTGGACTGAAATTTCAACCTTCATTGCTGAAATAACAATAAACAAATGAGAATAATAGGAAAACAAAACAGTACAACAACAAAAACAGGAAAGAACTGTGAACATTAACAAGAGTTGTCTTGCAGTCCTTGCAGTATCATGTGTGACCGCCTCTTGCAGCCTCCACTGCTTGACATCTCTGACACATCACTGTCCTGTCACTGGGGCGGGCATTGTGTCTGCCAGCAGTTTCCGCAGCAGGACAGGTTGCAGATCTGAAACGATCTCTCAGATGGACCCGTCTGATGTGTCGGTCCTGCTCTGGTGTGGTCACTCGAGGGCGACCGGATCTTGGACGGTCATCTGTCCTGCCACCCGTGGGACACAGTGGAGCGGCTCACTCCGTTGTGTCTGGCAACGCTGGCACATGACATGCCTGCCTGCAGCATGCCAGTGGCCCTCTCCCTTGCTTCTGGTGACATTCAAGGCATTATGGAATGCACAGAAAACTGACTAAGTGTGGCCTTTTTCTTGCAGTGACCTAAGCTTTTTTTATGAAGGCCTTTTTAAAGGGGACCTGATCAGGCATTGTTCCACCTGGACCTCGTTGGGTAAAAGTGCACCTAACGAGCTTTCATGTGATGGGCAAGCTGCAGTGCCTCACTGCACAAGCTGTATTGCTGGTCAGAGGGTTTAAAACAAATTGAAAGTACACAAGCTAAAACTATAGTATTCTCATTCCAGAAAATGTTGCATTTCTTTTTTCTATCAGTATATAATCAAGGAATTATTTCCATCCCGGAATTCGACAAAGTACTTCACACATAGGAGGAGACCATCTCCACCACTGGAGAGCAGCAGCCACCCGGAGTCATCCTGCTCCTGCAGTCCCGCTGCACAGCCGAGCCGGTGGAGAGGAGAGGGAAGGTTTTCACAAGTGGAACTGAGGGGGAACTCGAGGGGGGTCAAATTGTAAAAGCCCAGAGTCGGGTTTACCTGTGATTATCGCCTCCACTCTTGTGAACGATACCATGGGATCCCCGTAGAGCAAGCAGTCAGAGCCACGGTTTGAAGTCTGACCTAAAGGATGGCACCTCCTGCCACCTCAGTGGAACGCTGGTTTGGAAGTTCTGGTCCACCGGCACCACCTACAGCAGCAAACTGGAGAAGTCTCCCATCCCAGTACTGACCAGGCCCAGCCTTGCTGAGCTTTAGAGACAAGATGCCGACGGGCTGCAAGGTGGTGAAGTTTCTAATGCAGGACCGCTGTTGCAGCAGAGGGGTTCCAGGAGATCTCTCTTTGAGCTGTTTTGTGATGACGCACACCGCTGTAACGGAAGGTGTCCACCTACCTGTTTTCGCTGGCCCTTCGCCTGTGTTTGCTCAGCGGTGGAAGCCAGAAGGCAGAGTCGGTGACCAGGCAGGTGGAGTACAGTGAGCGCCGCCAGTTCAGCTCCAGTGGCGCAGAGGCAGTAAGTAGCACTGGTCCCCGTCCTGCCCACCGGCGGTTCAGAGACCGTCCCGCGCTCGAACAGCCTGCGACGAGGGTGAGGAAATCAGCGAGGTGCTGAAGCAGGATTGTCAGTTTTGCCTTAACGGCGTCACGTTAGGATGAGCTCCAAGGGAAAAGCAGTACGTGGGCTCCCAGGACTTAATCAATGTAATGCCTTGCAGTCAGTTGCTATCGCTCTTTGCAAGTGGAGGTGTATAGTAACACTCCGGTCCAGACCATTATGCATGGACTTCCTCTTCGATTGGTGCTTTTTGCCAAACACATCGCATATTGTTCTGCTTGTCTCCACCATCCTTGCTGCTCATGTGGTCAACAGGGTGGTCTCTCACTGAGCAGGACGTGGCTCCGATGCTGTTGAGTCCACCTGAAGTGCTCTCAACATACCAGTGATGTAAAAGTGTTGTTGTCTTTATAAGCGGAGCATATCGGTTACTTTCTTTGCCATTTTGATAGGCTTAACACTGAGCAGGTTAAATAACCATATCACCTGTGCCAGCTCAACACTTTCACCAATAAAAGTGATTCCCTGTCAGTGAGGAATGAATCAATAAATTAAAATGACACCAAAAATTTTCATCGGTATCCAGAAGCACTGTCTGTTTAAATTAGACTGACTCTCAAAGACAGACGTACGACAGCAGCTGATGATCTGAGTTTGGAACAGCAAAATCTAAACCACAGTGTTGTTTTATAAACTAAACTGAGTTTGCAGAGTCTGATCCTCTTCGTGAGGAATGCATCTGTGACTTAAAGAGAGCATTAAGGCTCAGACAGAAATGGTTTGCCAAAAGTATTAAACTTTGACCCTAGTTCTTTTTATAAACACAGCAGAATACCAAAAACTGAACTGGCTTGCTCTCCGGTGACGTACTGTAAAAGATTATAACTTTCCACTTATTTGACACTGTTATGCAGAGTAGCTTACATTTGTACACATTTATATATCCGGGCATTTTCCTGGAGCAGTCTGAGCAAAGCGCCTTGCTCAAGGGTATGACACCTGTGTTTCACCTTGGATATGAACCCACCACCTTCTAGTTACAATTCTAAAGTCCTCCAGATTGCTGCCTTTAAGAGACACTTTGCACTTCTGGTAACTGCATTGCCATATGTTGTGTTATACTGTACTTCTAACATTTTGATGTTTCCGACCTCTTAACCCTGTCGTATCGGGAAGAAGCTGCCCAGTCGTGAAGTTGAAGCCGATGCCCTACTAACTACCAGATGGCAGGGGGACTCAAATTTCCTCCTCTTAAAGAAATATATATATATCTCCAGAAAACAAATTCTATGTGTGTTCATCAGGGTGAAGGATGTTTAATCTATAAGCTTTGTTTAGAATGTTGTGTACAGTTTTGGTTGCCACCTTGTAGGAAAGATATCGCTGCTCTAGAATCAGTCCAGAGAAGAGCAACCAGATGCATTCTTGGGATCAAGGGGATGAACTACAGTGACAGGGTGCAGGAGCTGAATCTCTTTAGTCTTGAACAGGGGCGACTCGGAGTGGATCTGATTCCAGTATTCGACACAATTCTTCAGAACCAACAGTGGAACAATGAAGGAAATGTGTGGCCTGAGGTCACTTCAGGCCAGTCTGTTAGTGGGAGGCTATAGGTAGTGATTTTGAAGTAGAACAATGGTCCGATTTCTAAAGCGGATATTTTAAGACATTATCTAGAGAGAATGTTTTCTGTTTTGGGGTTCAGGGTGACGTTACAGCACCACTTTAGTTTGTAATTCCAAAATGCCCCTCACACAAGTGATATTTGTCTCCCCCAGCTTTCCACAAAACACATGTGATCGACGCCATATTACATTCTCATATCGCTTAGACATCGGAGCTATTTTTGTGCTCTTCTTTAAATAGAAAAGTAGCATGAGTTCCTGCCTTCCTGCAATGTGCGTCAAAAAGTTGATTTGAATGCACGAAAGGTGTTAGATGATAGAAGTCCCGAGCGGTAATGTCCAGTAATTAAGGAGACATGTTTGACTGTAGTTGTTTTTCTAAACCGGCCACTCTCTGATTAGCCACCCTGCATGCGCCGGTGCTGTCGGGTGTTGGCGTATCAGGCTGGAAATTCCCTCCCCAACCCGGTCACTAGTCTCTGAACGCCTGAAAGGATGTGATGAAATGTTTTCTGAGTCAGCTTGTTTGTTGCTGGGTCGAATACAGCTCGGTGGAAAGCAGGAAAGTGGGTGAAGCCAGGAAGGCTGAGCTAACCGCGCCGTGCCTCCTGCTTGCGCTCGGCCGTGCCGCTGCGCTGCCTGAGCACTCGGGAGCCGTGCGACCGCCCGGCGGCTGGGAGCTGGGTGTGACCGGCTGTCCGGCGGGGGAGCAGGGTGCTGGCAAGAGCTCGTTCAGCGAAAAGCAAGCCTTGCGCCCTGGGCGGCGCAAACAGACGGCTTCGTGTTCCTGGCCTTCTCAGTTGGTTTGGTTCCTTGTCTTCTTTCCTTGCAGCGGCGATCGATGCCTCAGACGAGTTGTTCATCCAGTCTGCAGGGGTCCGCAAGGGTCTGAAAGGGCCTGCGCTTTGTATCTGCACTTCTGCCACACAACAGCAAGTCTGTCTCTCCCTCGGCGGTGGGGACTGTGCAGTGCAGACCTGGTTTTGCCATGGTGCCTGGCACGGTAAAGTGCCTGTGACTGTGTGCACTACAGACAATTCACTTCTATCATCCTTACCTGCTAATTATTCTCATCTCACCCCCAACATGCACTTTGACTGGTCCTGGATTCTGAGCTTATTCTCGGACATCAGTGGGGGTAAATGAATGAACTGAACTGACGGGGAAAGTCCGACAACATGAAGTGGGCCTTGATGAGTTTGACGTCTTGCCCACACTTGAACGGAGCGCACTGCTGCCGCGACGCCCTGCAGGGTTTCTGCTCTGGGGCTCAAGATGCAGAACTGCAGCTGCAGCTAGAGCAGGCTTGTGGCTTTTGAGCTCCTTTTGGAATCCCGCTGAAATATTAGCCACGGGATGAACAGAAGCTGAAAGCCGAGCCTGGCGTGGCTGGGGAGGAGTGGTTTGTTCAGAAGATCGAAAAGCTTGTTGATTTCTGATAAAACGGTGCGTTTTAATGAGATTGTCACGGAAAGGTCGGTTCTTGTCACACGGAGCCCTTTTGTTTTGATGTGGAACACTGCTGTATTGTCGTACCGTGGCACGAACAATAGATATTCCAGGCGCTGCTTTCCACTCGTTTCTGGAATGTGGGGGCGCAGTTGTGTATGCAGGTGGCCCTCTGTTCCCGTTGTTTCCACAGCGGCACTGATGGAGGGTGACTCTGGGTTGCGGGTTTGCCCACAGAGCCTGGTGCTGCAGTGATGAGCTGGGGTTCACTCCTGCCTCTGGACGGAAAGCTGCAGGCCTCCCACGGATGTTTTGCGATGTGCATTTCAGTTTTGACTTAGTTGGTGGATTTGTGAGTCATTTTATACTACTTTCGGCCTGTGTGCACTGAATTACCATGTGGAGTGCTTGCTCAGCCCGATTCTTGGGGAATGCAAGGATGTGTACGAGTCTGGAAAGAGAGAGAGAAATGCCACTGATGTGGTTCTTGTCTATACTGTAATCTCGGCACTCACTACTTGCTGTCATTAAACAACTGAGTAAGGATTTTTGGTGTTGCTTTTAAAGCTTCAAATTTTGCTAGGATTTAAGTGTCTTGTAGGGGAATTGTTTTTCTCTTTACATGACTCAAACTGCTGTTGAGTGTCAAAATGGATATCTTCGTAGCATAGTATTTCTTTCATTTTTTTACGATGCATTGAAGGCAGTGCCTGCAGGTTTTAAAGATACTTTAGAGACTCACTGTGTTTCTTAACATGCATCTCAGGGGGGTTAGCTTTGGTTTCTGGATTGATAAAGCAGGTATAGCGCTGTGCTGTCCAAATGTATCTCTACAGAAAAGTCAGGCATGTTGTTCCTTTAGAGCATATTGCATAACTGTCTATGCTTATCCGTGAGGCATGTGTACACCTTGGACTATGGTATTAGCCAAGTTTACTCTCTGGCAAAAGGCATGCAGCTCTGAAGGAATGCAGCAGGGCATGCAAAACAACACTGAGTGGTTTTCCTGCTGCTCTGTAAGGCCAGCTTACTCCCCAGAATACTGGCTCTGTCTGCGGTGATGCTCGCTGTGCTTTTATCAGGGTGTGGGTCAGGAGAGCAAGAAGATGCCAGCCCCCGGCCCTGTGCTGCCCCTCTGTCAGCCTCGCCCGCGAGACGGCTTCTCCTCTGCACGGGGCGAACACGCCGGACCCGCACACAGCCTCTCCTGAAGCCTGTTTGCTGCCACGTTATTCCTGTTTTGATGGTCAGGTTGCGACACAGAGGGCTTCGTGCTGCAGACTGAGCCCTGGTCTCGGCCTCAGGCAAGAGGCGCTATCACACAAAGGCTGTGTTTAGAAGGAGCACCGGCCCAGGCTGTGTTATTATGCCACCGAAATGAGCTGTCTCTGGGCTCCCCGGGTGGTAGTTTGGTCAAAGCCTGGTATTTGAACTATATTTAGCCATACAGTTATAAATCTTTATGTGCTGCGTTTTATCTGGGCTGAGTCTGCAGCTCACGAAGGGTTCCGCCTGCGTTTGTGCTTTTTGTTTTAAAAACCCAAATGCACCTTATAATTAAAACCTTCAAAGCCCAGAGAAAGCTGAAAGCAGGGTAGAAGGGTCAGACCTGCTGCAGTAACAAAGGAGTTAAGTGACTTTATTCTTGGCTGGAATGTAAATTCCATTTTGTGCACTTTATCCCCTTATATGTTGAAGGAAAGACTGCAGCTGTACCAAGTGCCATTAGCTCCCGAGTGCGCACAGTATTTCGACATAAAAAATGTTGTCCCTATTCTCAGTTTAACTCTGAAACTTCTGAGGTGTCCTGTTCAGTCTTGGGTAAAGTAAAGGCTTTTGATTAATTCTTCTGCTGCCGTTATTTTATCGTCACTTTGTTAACCACACTGCACCTTTTAGCTTGTATCCATTTTTCGTCTGCCTTACTTGTCTGTGTAGATCTCATCCTGTGATTTCGTCATGTAAGCTCTGTTCTATAGAAATGTTGAAGGTTCTCAGCTCTGTTCTTAATGCTGCTCTGTATTCTCCTCTGATCTGCTTGTCTGCTCCCTCCAAAATCCCAGCGCACACAGACTCACGTCAGGGTCAGTTTTCCCAGATGCCAGACTTTGGACTGTGGGAGGGAGAACTGGAGAACCCAGAGGAAGCCCTCACAAATGTGGGGAGAACTTGCAGACTCCACACAGACAGTACCCATTGACCCAGTTCTGCGTGACAGCAAAGCTGACCGCTGCGCCACCTTGTTTCGATCTAAAGAAACGTAAGTTCTGTTGTGTTCTAGTTTTGACAGTGGAGGCTGCCTGCTGAATCCCTGGTTGTCTGGCCCCCTGTCGACCCGCCTGGGGAGCTCTGGGGCTGCTGTGCTCGAATGGGCCGGAGCTCCTCCCTCGCGGCGTGCGTGTGCCCGTGCAGCACCGCTTGCCATCTGGGCGATCCGCCCCACAACCGAGACGGAGCGCGCCGCTTCCACCACCCAGTTTCCCCTCCGCGGCACGGGAGCTTAAAGTAGCTCCCGGAGAAGAAGCGACTGTGCCGCGCTCGTCTGAGCCCTCCTCTCTCGCTCTCTCTTGTGTGCGGCTCTGTGACAGGGGACGAGTGTGCGCGGTGGCATCCTGGAGGCACAGCCCTGCTGCCCTGCAAGCTGCTGCATGCCTGGAGCGCGGCTCTTGTCCGTTGTTTGTTTTCCTCGTCGGGGAGGAGAAAACGCCTCGGGCTGCCTGCTTAGCCCCGCTGCCTCCGCTCCGGCTGAGCGTCCCCTCCCCCCTCTCCAGCCTCATCGAGAATTGGGATGAGATAAGGGAGCTAAATTACTCTACCTGTACCAGGCTCGTTTTCCTTCAAAAGAATGGCAGGAATTTTCATCACTTCCTATGGAAAGTATGCATCGCTCGGGCCCTGTCCCGAGCTCCAGGAGGGGGGGAGGCTCAGGATTCGCCATCGGCCCCTGAGGAAGGAAAGACCTGCATCTGCTCCAGCGGCCTGGAACGTGACGCCCCCCAGGGGTCCACGGCCGTTCTGCTCCTTGTCATGGTTTGGCATTTTGTTCTGCATTTTTTTTTGTGATGTTTTCAGTTTTTTCCTGGCAACCGGGGAATTAAATCTTAATCTCTTCCCTCCTTACGTTTTTTCTCCACAAACCCACAAAACCACCATGAAAAGCGGCTGAGTGTTTCACCAAGCAGGGGGGGGGAGAGCTGCCTTCTCTCCCCAGTCTCCTCACATGCATTCCTTGCGCTGTGCTGTTGACTCCCGTTTTCATTCCTACATGCCACTCTGAGCGGCTGCCCCAGGAAACAGACTTGCTGGGGAAGCTCATCTCTGTGCCGATGCTGAGAAATCGTCTGCTCTTCGTGTTCTGCTGAGAACCTGGGGGCTGAGCTCTTGTACTTCGAAGCCTGTTCCCTGCTTCCCCTGCTCATTAGAGTTCCTGGCATCCCTCAAAGTGTGTCTCATGACAGGCAGAGCCCACCCCACAGACACAAGACGTACAAAACGCATAGGTGGACACTGGGAGAAATGATAAAAGTGTGCAAAGACAGGAACCCCTTTCCGGACAGGGTGGTGGTGGTCTGGCTTAATCAGCAGAAGGCTGCAGTGTCTTGTTGCTCTGTCTTGTTGCATTTTTGTATGATTTACCGAAAACAAAAGCCCAATTATTAACTTAGCTGACGTTCTTGGCAAACGTGAGGCGAGTGAGTTTCACTCCTGTGGCCAAGACCCCTGTTTGCAAGCCGGTGGCCCTCGGAGCAGTGCTGCTGGGGCCTTGCACACTGAGCCAGAGAAGCACTGCAGTGATGGATTGATTCATTGTTTTCTGCCATTGTTTTCTTTTTACCCTCACGGCTCCTCAAATAAAGAGGATCCTGGGGAACTGGTACCTGGTGCCAAAAAAGGGGTTGTGAAACACTGGCCAAGACGCCCCCTGGTGGGCAGCAGGAGGAGTGAGCAGACTGTCCTGCTGCTGGGTGGGGTGCAAGCGCAGGCCGGGCCCCCAAAAGAGACACTTCCCCTCCTGTCCCATCTTGTGAGGCCCAGGGGTGAGGGTTGAACTAGACGCTCTGTTTGTTAAAAATATTTGGTGTGATAAAAGGTTAGTGGCACAGCTGCCTCATGGGTCCAGGGCTCTTTCAAGAATACACCAAGCTATTGGAATAGCTTGCAGCTGTCAGTTCTGCAGAGTTGGCGTTAGAAAGTGGCTGTAGCGGACAGCTCATTACAGATGATGGAATACAGCAGCTGCGCTGAAGAATCCTGAAGGTTCAGTGGTGAAAGTTTGTCGCGCAGATAACAGGTAGCAGGTGTAGCTTGTGTCTGGATGCTCCCTGATATGTTTGCAGCTGGATCTTAGTGATATGGCTAATATAACAGCACTAGCCGGTCAGGGTTCGAGTCGGGAGCCGTGTCAACACGAGGGCTGCAACGGAACAGATAATGATGAATTCCACTGTTGAAAAAGAAAACTAAACGTTTAGACTCTGGAGTTTCTTCAGATGTGAGGGGAAATGAGGGATGGAGGGGGAATGTGAGGGTAAAAGACAGCAGGAGGACCCTTGTGCCTCCCTGCTGTGGCATTTTCCCTGACCCAGCCAGCCAGGGTGAATGGCAGGAGTGCAACAAGTGGGTTTCTGCACAGGAAGGACTCCCCTGGGGTCCTCTGGAAAGGGCCGAGGGGGCTATATCTGTGTGGGCTGCTGTGTGCGGCCTGTCTTTACAGGCGATGCACTGGCCTCTGTGAGAACAGACTGTGCACCGTTAAGGGAGCTGTAGACAAGCAGGCTGTGAAGATGAGGAGGTCTGTGGCTAGGGCAGGTCCGTGCATTCCTGAAAATAGGTTGCATTGGAGGGGACTTCCTGTAAAACGGAGACGTCGAGTCTGCTGACCCCGGGAAGGGGGCGGGGAAGCAGCGGTGGAGTACGGCCCTGGGTCCGGGGAGTCCTCCGGGGGAGTGCCCCCTGAAGACTGCCCCCTGAAGGGGTTTGCTTTTGTCCTGGCGTGGTGAACTGCGAGGCATGGGGTGGCGGTCAGTCCGCGGTGTGGAACGATGAGGAGAGGCGTGTCCAGAGAAGGAAGAGTGGTGGGAGGTGCGCTGGCTGGCGGGGGCTCTGATGGAGGCTGGCGTGGTGTAGGGATTGCGGTCGCTGACTGCTGGAGCAGGCGGCAGCGATGGCACAGTCATCGATGTGTCGCTTGTAGAGTCCAGGGGAGAAGTCGGTACAGGGGCAGAAGTAGCGTTCGTCTCCCCAGCTGACTCGGATATTGGCATGACTGGGTCCCACCCTGGTACCCTTGGTAACTCCGCCCAGCTGGTGGTAGAGACTACTACAAGGAAACCTTTCAAGGTGAGAACTAGGTAAAGTAGTCTTGTAAGGGCACAGGTTGGGGTGTCCGGTGCTGTGCAAGAGGCCGATGTCATGGGGAGCAAGAGTGTGCAGAATTTGTGCTGTCTGTAGTCAAGATGAAGCGTTCAAGAACCTAAAACTGACAGCTGCCACACAACTGGAGTGGGGGGTTTGTACCCTTAAGGTATGAGGAAAGACCCTCAACAAGGGACCTCGTTAAGGAAAGCAGAGGTGTGAGTAGTTGGACAGCTAGTAGGCCATCGTGTGTCGGATTTTGGGGGCTTTTGGGAAGCATATGGAGATGGAATGCTTGTGGATGTGGATGTAACTTCCTGCTGAATGTCAGTGGTCAGGTCCTGTGGAAGAGAACAATGTTGTTGGTTGTTTCTAGGCCTTAGAAGTAGGCCTAGGCCTTGGTTGTTTCAGGCTCTTGTGCACAGTGCACAGTTCAGGTCCTGAGTATATGTGTTTCTGTTTTACTTTTCAGGGATAGACGATTCCTGGACTTGGAGGGGATTGGCTTC